GAAACGAACTTTGAAAAACAGTGCAGAAAAAACGGACTACCTGTTGAACAGCAGCAGGACAGGGGCGGTTACGGCAGCACCGCCCTGTAAGGCAGTTAATGCAAACATGCTGCGTATGGCCGGATCTTTCACCGGCCATGATCGGATCCGGAAAAGGCCACCACTCCGGCCTGTGAATGGTGCCGGCAGTGGTGGGGATCTGAACGTCAATGCACCACCCTTCACGGGAGCTCCAGGGAGGGCAACGGAGGAGCGGAGGCAGATGCGGGCGGACGTCGATCCAGGAGTATTCGTTGGGCCCCAGATGCCCCGGGTGAAGAAGCTGGCCATACCAGGCCGCCTCCCACAGCGAGTCGTCCGAATCATCGGGGACGACTTCGGGGACGGCACGGGGGGCCGGATTCGGAGCATCCGGCTGGCGCGCCTTGGGCCGGGTAGTCTGGCTTGCCGCGGGGTCGGGCGCAGGATCGTTGGAAGATCCAGGCCGACCCGGAACCGGACCGGCGCCAGAAGAAGATGCAGCACCACTGCCTCCTCCCGGATACGGGATGGGACAGACTTTAGGAACGGCCACCGGTGGAGCGTTTGATGTGTCTGGTGGCGGGGCCGGTGCTGCATCTGGGGCCTCATCTTTGACCTGTGCCGTCTCCTGGGCCGGGGACGGAGCCGTAGGCTTGGGCGGAGGCTCTTTCACGACAGGTGCTGCGCGGAGAACCAGACGCCCAGGCGGCGGGTTACGGATCGGGTCCCCGGAGACGGACACAGAAGTGCAGTGGCAGACACCGCAGGGACGGTATCGGCCGGGGACGGCGACACAGGGGCAGAATGCTCCTCCTCTACAGCGGCCTCCGTGGTCTCGTCAGAGGAAGGAGACAGCACCGGGTTCGGGGGCGGAACCGGGGTAACCGCCGGTTCGTCGCCAGCCGCCCGGGAAGCGGTCAGAGCATCAGCCTTGCCCGTCATGATGTAAATGCAAACGTCAATGTGCGCGGGGAGCATCCACAGTCAGAGCAGAGCGGCTGCGGAAAAAAAACAACCTACCAACAAGGCTGAAAAGACTTGTACATGTGACGCTGAAGCAAACATGAGGCAAGCAGCGGTCAGACATGCAAACAGAAGCAAAGCAGACAAGGTCCTCGGATGCATGAGAGCATCGCGAAGGGGACCGGCGTCGGGGTGAAGAAGAAGACGAGCTTCTAGTCCGGCGGCCTGGGCGCGGACAAGGGAAGTAGGGATCACCGCCGGGTCAAGTTGAGCACCGGACGGGCAGATCGCGAAGTGGAAGAGGACCGGGAACTCCCGGACCTACGTTCACGATGTCGCCGTCGCTGACCTAGTCGGGCAACGGGCAAGCACCGCAAAAAGAGGGAGGGCACAGAGCGCCTCGCCTCGAGACATCAAAAGGAAAGCTGCGGGCCAGCACAGCCTAAAAATCGAAAAGCTTCGGCACCGGTTCCAGAACGGAACCAGGGCCGTCTGAGCCCGCAGCTGCGGTGTCAGACTCGGTTCCGTTGCGGGCTGGCCAAACAAACCCAATCAAAGCTCGGAATCATACAGTACATACAGTACATATAGTACATACAGTACATACAGTACATACAGTACATACAGTACATACAGTACATACGGTACATACATACATACATACATACATACATACATACGTACCTGCGTACATGCGTGCATCCACCAATACACCATGCACCCGTTCACCCATGCACCCATGCACCCCTGCACCCATACACCCGTACACCCACCCGTACATACATACATACATACATACATACATACATACATACATACGTACGTACCGGCGTACATACATACATACATGCATACATACATACATACATACATACATACGTACATACGTACATACACACATTCACACATACACACATACACACATACACACAGACACACAGACACACAGACACACAGCTTGGATGGCAACGGTGCCAGTGCATATCCGACCTTGTCTGGTTGAGCACGAGCTTGATATGGTGAATATGATGAAGGTGGTGATGGTGATGAAAACGACAAATGAGATGAAATTTTTGGTGCCATGTATGCCAGAC